AGTCACCCGAATGGAGGTGCGCAGACAGCAAGGGACCAATGAACAGATACCAAAAGAAAAGAATGTCCACACCTTTATCTCAGTGGTTCTGTCAGGCGTCTGTGGCCGCTCCGATCCTTCCTCCACGTGGTCTCACCCAAGATGGAGGCTCCTGGAGCAGCCAAGCGTCCTGGACTAGAAAGCAATAGATTTCTCGCTTCTGCCACAAATTCCCCAGCTGTGAGCCTTCCAACCTTCTAAGTATTCCTTTATATGTGGTTCAGAGTTCTGGAACCACCCCCTGAGCCTGCTTGGTCGGGTTGTCTGTGTTGTTGTCGACGTAGCTCTCTGCTATACGTCCTCCCGATCCGCCATCTTGTTTGTTCCTTCGAGGTAGGTGCGATTTTGCATTTCACTCTTTTAACAGTCAGGTTTATTGAGGTATAATTTGCATTAAATAATGGTCACATAGTCAGGTAACCATCACCACACTCAAACAAAGGAACATTCCAAAATGTTCTTTGTGCCCCTTTGTCATCAATCCCTTTGTCCCATCCCCGGCTCCTGGCAACCGTTGATCTGTTTCCTTTCCCTATAAGTTTGCCTTTCCTAGAGTGTATTGGGAGTCCTGGTGTGGCGCTGTAGGATCAGCACTAGACTGCTAACCACAGGGTTGGCAGTTCAAACCCACCAGCCACTCCTTGAAAACCCTATACAGGGTAACTATGAGTCAGAACTGACTTGATGGAATAACAACAACAGAGAATATTGAGTTTTGTGCCTGGCCTCTTTCATTCAGCGTAATGGTTTTTGTGGTTCATCTATGTTGTAGCATGTATCACTATTCCACTAAGACATTATAATAATTACAAATAAAGTCTCTGAACCCTCTAACCAGCACTCCATAAAAAAATAACCAGAGAGAACAGTTTGGAAGCCATTCCTCACATTTAAAACATCTTTTCTATACATGCGTGGTGGTGGTGGTGGGTTATGTGCCGTGGAGTTGATTCCGACTCGTAGTAACCCCGTACAGGGTTTCCGAGGCTGTAAATCTTTACGGGAGCAGAAAGCCTCATCTTTTCTCCCGTGGAACAGCTGGTAGTTTCCAACTGCTGACCTTAAGGTTCACAGCCCGATTCGTAACTACTACGCTACCAGAGCTCCTTTTCTATACATGCATTAACACTTATTTTAGGGTGTAGACTAGTGCAGCACAGGTACCACTCCCCTAATCTGTGGAATGAGCTCATTCACACCCACTTTTCACTTACAGACCGTGTTAGGTTCTAAAGAGCAAGTTGTTGTTATATGAAATGGAGGATGACCATATCACCTGACCTATACTGTGACTGTCCTGCCAGGCCCTTGGTGAGGTCACCTGCCATTACTGACTTCCTCGCCCCAGTATCGCCTCAGTCCCATTGCTGTCTGCCCAATCTTCCCAGGCCAGGGTAGCCCAGGGGCAGCCCTCTTTCACATCCTCAAGCTTCCTTTCCTTCACATATTTTCAGGATGGGTGGCCCCAGCTCATCCTCTCTACAACCCCAAACACCTTTAGGTTTGTTGGGGGCAGGGCCTCCCTGTCTATGGGTGTGAGGGCCTGGGAGCCATGGGGGGCTGGTGAGCGTGTATGCACACTACTTTCTGGGTCTCCCTTCATTGTTCTCTTGCTGGGCAGCCCTGCAAGAATGGACAGTCCAGAGGTTTCTTTAAGGCCTTGACAGCCAAGCTCAACTTCTTTCCTTGACCTTACACTTTAGCCTGCCCCTGATCACTTACCTGCTCTAACCACTCCCACTCAGGAAGCCTGCCCTACTTGACCTGTGCTTATCCAGGAAGGGGAATCAATGTGTGAGGGCTGTACAGGTGCTGGTCAGCTAATGTGGGGTTCTGCAGGTCGCAGGGCTCCTTCTGACCACAGCCTGGCCTGTTCTTGCTGCTCCTTGGGGCTGAGAGCTAGGGCCAGACCCTGGGTTTCTGCTTCCTCCCTGGTCCCCAGAGTGGCCCACCTTTAGGACATCAGCTGCTGCTACCTCAGCCTTAGCCCCCTGTGGATACCCAGGATCTGTCAGGCAGTGTCCAATTCCACT